AGCTTGTCGACTTCGCTGCTCACTATCGTCTAGACTACGCCACTAGTCTTGTTGCTGAGTCTGAGTCTGTCTGTCCTACGTCCATCGGGGGTGAGTGTGCTCTTAGCACGGACGTCCTTGAGGACAGGCAGTGTTTTGCTGCTGCTTTGCCTCATCCCGTGTCCACGCTGATTGCCCATGAGGCAGACCCATATGCACCAGACATCCTGACTCCTCGATCGTACACTGAGGCGATCGAGGGTCCCTACTCCTCACAGTGGCAGTCAGCCATGGACGCACAGATGGCTTCCTGGAAGTCCATAGGCACCTACGTCGACAAGGTTCCCCCTCCTAGGGCGAACATCGTCAGTGGCATGTGGATTTTCAGGGTGAAGCGGCCACCGGGTTCTCCGCCTCTCTTCAAGGCGCGTTACGTGGCTCGAGGCTTCACTCAGCGGCAAGGAGTTGACTACTTTCAGACCTTCTCTCCCACCCCGAAGATGACCACTCTTTGGGTGCTGCTGCACATAGCCGCTCAGCGCGACTACGAGCTTCACTCTCTTGACTTCAGCACAGCTTTCCTGCAGGGTAGCCTGCACGAGGAGATCTGGCTGCGCCGCCCACCTGGGTTCACTGGGTCGTTTCCTCCTAGTACCCAGTAGAGCCTCCGGCGCCCAGTCTACGGTCTCCGCCAGGCGCCCCGTGAGTGGCACGACACACTGAAGACTACACTTGCGGCTCTTGGGTTTGCTCCTTCTACACTTCCGACCCGTCGCTATTTCTACACACCGACACCTCTTTGCCGCCGTTCTACATCCTCGTGTACGTCGACGACTTGGTCTTTGCCACAGCTGACACTGCTGGACTCGCCCACGTGAAGTCCGAGCTGCAGAAGAGACACACGTGCACAGACCTGGGTGAACTGCGCAGCTACCTTGGCTTGCAGATCACCCGGGACAGAGCACAGCGCACCATTACCCTGACTTAGTCACACATGGTGCAGCAGGTCCTTCAGCGCTTCGACTTCACGTACTCCTCGCCTCAGGCCATTCCTCTGTCTACTCGCCACTCGATCTCAACTCTGCCTTCGGATGAGTCCGTAGAGCCGAGTGGCCTGTACCCAGAGCTTGTTGGCTGCCTCATGTACCTAATGACTTGCACACGACCTGACCTTGCATACCCTCTTAGCATCTTGGCATGCTATGTTGCTCCTGGGAGACACCGACCAGAGCACATGGTTGGAGCGAAGAGGGTGTTGCGCTACTTGTGCAGTACGTCAGACATGGGGCTAGTGCTTGGAGGGCGACGTCCAGTGGTCCTCACAGGTCACGCAGACGCTTCTTGGGCTGACGACCAGGCTACGCAGCGGTCATCACAGGGTTACACCTTCAGCCTTGGTTCCGGCTCTGTTTCGTGGCGGTCTACCCGCTTGTCTTCTGTTCTTGGCTCCAGCTGTGAGGCTGAGATCTACGCGGGGGCCATGGCTACACAGGAGCTATGCTGGCTCACCTACCTGCTGACTGACCAAGGAGAGCCGCCTCGTTCTCCTCCAGTTCTGTACGTAGACAACAAGGCCATGCTGGCCTTGTGTCGGGAGCACAGACTGGAGCACAGAACGAAGCACATTGCTCTTCGCTACTTCCTTGCTCGTGAGCTGCAGCAGCGTGGTCAGCTGCGCCTTGCTTACGTGGCCTCTGAGGCCAACACTGCTGATATCTTCACCAAGGCACTTCCGCCTTGTGAACATCAGCGCCGTACGATGTTAGGTCTTGTGCCTACTTGGCCTCACTTGCTCACTTCTTAACCTTGCTTGTACTGTGATCTTTCTATACGTGCACTTCGTTATTTACCTTTCTATATGATCTTGCATGTGAACTGACCGTTTGGCCTTGCTCTTGTGCTCGGAGTGTGTGGTGACGTTGTGATCCACTCTGAGCTTGCTTTGCTTTGCTTAACTGGTCTTGTGACCTCTTGTTCTCCCCCACTTTGCCTATGGGGGTGTGTCAAACTCATATGCTATAGTCTGTGTAGGCTGTAGTGGGGTAGACAATATGGGGTACAACACTTCTAGGTTTTCCTACTTGTACCCACCTGCTTCCTAGTTATTCATTCCTCATTCTTCGCACATGACCCTGTTACCGCTACTTCATACCGTGCAGCTACCCGTCGTCCAGACGATTCGTGGGTTGTACCATCGTAGCCAATCACGTCCCAGTAAAACATCATGCCCATCCAATGTCGTCGCTAGCATTTCCTGTATAAACCCGAAGTTTCCCCCGCAGCGAACTATTTCTCTCTCCACCTTCTCCCGTATGGCCAGTGGAGTGCCATCAACTAAGCGTGCGTCAATCTCAGTGGCTAAGTATCATTTGTAATTTTTGCGCAGTTGCGGTATTAACTAAACTGTGGCTCACTCCTCCGTCAATAAAAATCTTCACTGCTGCTCCCTGTATTTTTCCGTGGATCAGTACTGGGCAATCCGTCGCTGTACCCTCCTTATTCATCCGAGCCCGATTGATGGCGTGAATCGGTACTGTGACTCGGTGAGGGTCGATGCGGTTGGGCGAGCAGGCTGTCTCGTCAGTAGTTGGCCCAACTTCTACTGACGGCTGGCGTTTCCCTGCCTCTGAGATTTCCCCCCCTGCTCTGCTCCGCGGCGCCTTAGCTCCTCTGGGCATTCACTCTTGCGATGGCCTGGCCTGTTTCAAGCAAAGCAGCGCCCCTTAAACGGTGCGGCAGCTGCATTTGTTGCAACAGCGTTAACAGTGGCGTGCTCGATCGGTCCTCGAGGACGATGTCCGTAGTAGGACCCCGGTCTCGGTCGGCGTAAAATGTCGATTTTCTCGGTGAGCGCGAGAATCTCGTTGAAGTTTGAGAGTCCGCGCAGCATGATTTCGTGCGAGATATCCGGCTTCAGCCCTCCGACGTAACGGTCCACCCGCTCCGCTTCGTGCATGTAGCCGACTTGCTCGCAAAGTGCGAGAAAACCGCTCGTGTAATCTTGAACCGGCCCGAGCTGCCGCCAAGTGCGCAATCTCTGACGCGCTGAAATAGAAGCCGCGATCGGCTCGAAGCGCGCCCGAAGCCCTGCGCACCACGCATCCCACGTGCTGTATTGGGCGGTCTCGCAGAATGAACTTCTGGTGACAGCTGGACCTGTGGGCCCTTCCTCTTGCGACGGTGGCTTGTAGGCGCGTGGCGACGTCACGATGACTCGCCACCAGTCCATGGCGGGGCCCATTAACAGCGAAACGGCATACCGAATCTTCGCTGCATCCGACTCGACGTAATTCGCGTCGAAGAAGACGTTCATCGTGAAAACCCACGATTGAACCGTCGGACCTCCACGTTGGCTTGGGTCGAAGCAGGGTGAGCGTTGCGGCTTGAGTGGCATGGGTGCCATAATGACATGTTCGCCACTTGTCGCCGCGAACTCCACGTGCCGGCGGGCTTCACGAGGCTCCTGCGGGCTTGGTGCGACCCTGTTTCCTCCCATGCCAGGCATCGGCTGGGCGGCGCCATCACTGGCTGCGCATGAGCGCTGTCCCACGCTGTCGTGTTGTGTTGGTGTGCCGGACGAAATGACGATCGGTTCGTCCGATTGTGCAGATGCATTTGTCGGTGCGTGTGGTGGCGCTGGAATGTTCACCATAGATTGCTGACATGCGGAGTCACTTTCCGCCGTGAGCGTCGCAATTTCGAGCGCCGAATCTTCAAGTTGGCGCACCAGACGGTCATGCTGCTCCTCCGTCAATGTGGCGAGCGTGAATTCGGCCATGGCGGGGGTGTCGGGCGAGCTCAGCGAGAGCCTCGGTCGTGGCCGTGCGTGCTTACGAGAGAGCACTACGAGCGGCGGTGCTGTGTCGCTGAGAGACGTCTACCCCCCCCCAAAAAATTGAGATAGTGGGGAAGCGAAGGTGTGGGTGCGGTTCAAGAGGAGATCGTAGGCTCTGAATACCAAGTGGTACGAGTGCAATTGAGTGAACGAACGAGAATTGCACTATCGAAGCAAGAGTACAATGAGCGAAGGCATGAGCGAAGAATATATAGCAAAAATATAGTGGTAACGGTAATGGACTGTGGTTGTCGCGCGACGAGCCTGGGACTAAGGTTGGGAAAAGTGTCGAAGCGGAGGCCCGGAGCGCGGGTTACCCGTCGAGCCGTGAGGTCGGGGTGCGACGTGCGAAGGTGGCGGGCGGATTGTCGATGCGAGGATTGCGAGTGGTAACGGTGCTGACTGTGGTGCTACAGTGATGTACGCGTTGAGCAGGGATGCGAAGTAAGGAAAAGGAATTTTCCTTCTAGTATTCAAGAAGTGAAAGCCTCAGAATTTATTGTAGTAAATGTTTATTTATTCCCGTCGCCTTCTGTGGCAACCAATAGGAATCCAGCTGACGCGTTACACTTTGGAACCACTTTGACTTCCTTGTAGTGAAGTTTTAACAAATTTCTCTGCCCTCTATGGCGACCAATAGGACTCCAGAGGACGCGTTGAATGTTGGGAACCACGATTCCTCTCACTTGACATGTTTATTCAATGGGTTTCGAGATGGCTCTGTGGGTTGCAGAGAGTTTAAGCGTAGGCACAGTGCGGTGGCAAATTTACATATGGCCCTCGATCATTGGTCGTCTGTACTTTACCGCGTTCTTTTTTTCAGGAAAACAGCAATCGAGTTGAATTATTGACATAGTTTTATTGACGGTATCGTAATAAACCACATTGCATCGTACCGAAACCCCAGAATTCACACCGTCTACCTTGGTTTTCTTCAGCGGTCGTGCCAGAGTTTGTTTGGGGCAGACAAAAATATCGCGGATTTCGCAGCGGCACGAGTGCAGCGTGAGTGACGCAAATAGTCAAACACATCTCGGCGGTTTCCCTCCATGCAGTCCTCTTCCTTTCGAGCTATATATCCAGTAGGTACACATGCTGTAACCATCAGAGTCTCGAATCTCGTTACAACTTTTACCGCAAAGTTCTCACTCTCCCATAGAAAACTTGTCAATCACCTTACATCGCCATGGCTCGCTCCGCTCTCTCCGTTGGCCTCGCGCTCTTCCTCGCTACATTCTTGGTGCTCTCATGCGTCTCATATGCCCAAGGTACGGCCCGAACCTCCGCAAAACCCAAGCCATATCCCTGGCGCCGCGTTCACGATTGCGCCTTCACTTTCGCCTCCGTTGCAGGCCAACCGCTCCGACCTTCACTTACGTCCTCTCTGCCCCTCGCTCCTCTCACTCCCCTTAACCTGCCCTACCCTACCAGCAACGAGCGAGGCGACAGGCGTTGATGCAGCAGAAGACGTGGCGAGAATCACGCAGCCCAACAAGGCCCACGAGCAGCGCCACCGCAAGCTCCAGACGACGGCTGATAGTACGTATCATGGGACTGAACCAATTTACCAGAACACGATCCAGACGTCAAATGAACGATTAGGCCCTCTCTCGTCTTCCCTCATTGCATTCTATCCGGCTTTCCAGAAGGCTAATTCTTCCGCAATGCTTCTGCTTTTGCAAGCGAAATCACTTTGCCGTGGGATCCAGAATGGTGAGGCGTTAGCCTGCCTTGCTGCCGCGTCTCACCTAACTAGTCCTAGAGATTCACTACCCATGCTTTGCTGCTTCTCTAACCCGTGCCTCACATCGCCTTGACCAACAGGCACCTTCTGCAGGACTGTGTATTTGAAGGGCGCGACATGGTGCCCCTCACGCTTTAAGGGAAATGCGCTGGCAATAGCCACGTGCACTAACAACCTTAACACACAGCGTGCACAGTGTGGTCTCCAATATCTGGTACGTCACAGGCATGGTGGAGAGCCTGTCATGTGGATCCTTCCCTTGCTTCGCTCTGTCGCAATCACATTCCAAGGTATCTGGTTTCTCATGCCATGTGATCTAGCTTGTCACTATCGCATGAAGGCTCGTCACAAGCCAGATGTTCCATCAAGCGCCGTGTAGAACACTATCATACCTCTGCAGTGTGCTTCTGTTGAGACTGCCTTACTCTCCTCCCTTACCCCACTCAGCGAGTGTGATGGTGCCTTGAAGGCCAGCAAGATCGGACTTCCAAATTGTGATTCTGAAGCCAGTGTGGAGAAGTACTCAAGAAAAAATGATTCTTCGTGTGATGTGTGGCTGTCTAAAGTTTCTTTGGTTTCTTGATAGAGTCTTGACCATGTATAATATATGGGGTGGATGGGTGCTTAGGAGATTGAATATCTATGGGTTATGTGCTTGTATGTGTAATTGCTAATTTGAAAACGCTGTTAGCACATCTCTGCTATTGCCATAAGCCACCTAGTACCCAATGGTCAATAAGATTGGTCCAGGGAAAGAGCACCATAATCATACAAAGTATCTGCTGACAGATGGATTGACTCACCATTAATGTGCTTGCTGACCAGGCCACAGCAAGCCAGGGCAGATCAGGCCTGAGCAGGCCACAGCAGGCCAGACCAGGCAAGTGGAAGGCCCATACCACGTAGTATGACCATGCCGGACTAGGCAAAGACCGGGGATGAGGTAAGGGACAGTGTCGCGGTGGGTGGCGGGGAAGGTGAGGGAACTGCGGGTGAACTGAAGGCTTGGGGGCTCACATGAAAAACACAAGCTCTGAGTTTCGTGAAAAAGGTGGTCTTTGCAACGGCAGCCTCCCCTTATGGTCCCCGTTGAGGTCCCCCCCACGCCACGCAAACCCTTCTCCACAATCACCAGCTCAGCCGCAACAGGCGCGGCTCCCTCCGTCCTTGACTCGTCCCGACGATGATGTTAATGCTGCGATTAGGCTGTTTGACCGCTGCCTTAAGGTTTCCGCGGGCTCAGTTTCCACTCTAGGTACACACCCTCCACTGCTGTCCTGTACTGCTCCATAGGCTGCTAGGCCACTTTCCCTGCTGCAGCTCCTGTGAGGGCAGTGAGCCACTGAATCTCCCAGTTTGGTGCCTCCCATGCGTTACGACTGCCTCCTTTGTTTCCACCCACTTCCTCTTCTGACACCTCCTGCCCCCCCTGCTTCTCTCCGCCTTGTGTCCCCCATCATACCGGTATGCATGCTTGGTGGAGCGGGAGCAGGGGCTTTCTCAAGGCCCGGTCCCTCCTATCACTGGCCCTCTCAGCCCAGCCGGGCAATGCAGCAGCGCTGGGGAATGCAGCAGAGGTGGAGGAGGCGCTAGGGAATGCAGCAGCAGCGCATGAGCTCTTTGTGCGGGCGCACCGGGCGGGTAGAATGGTGGCGAGGCGACGACGGGGGATGTTCGAGTCGGCTAAGGAGGGGAGGAGAGAGGAGCAGGAAGGAGGGGCGTGGCGGTGGGTTGTGGGGAAGATGAAGGAACAGCAGGTGAAAAGGAGAGTTGGAGGGAGGTGATGCCGGGATGGTGTTAGCCTGCTCTGATAGGGAAAAGGCTGAATACCATGAGTGTACCCAGAGCAGAGTGTGTGCTTACACTGGAGGTCTGTGCTTATGGCTTGAGCGACCGGAGTGGAATAGGATAGTATGTGCTGCTGCGGCAAGGCGTTGGAGGAGTGGTTTCCACTGCCACAGTAGGCAGCTTGTGTACAGTTGAATCTGAGTGTTGTTCTGTTGAATATATGTGTGAAATTACGTGTTAGGTTGCTCTAGGAAATAAGTTTTGTGTGCTGATTGTTTGACTGCTCTTTGAGCTTTGCAAATTTAAAGTGAAACCGTGTAATTGAGCAAGGACCAACCAAACAGAAGAATGAATAAGAGCAGGAACTCAGAGGAAAACACGGTGTATACGTATTATTGAAGACTTTGGGATCGCTTCTAACGGATCCACCGGTTTGTGCGGCAACCCACACCCCCTCAATATTGGCGGTGTTCGCCAGCAACTTTCAAAACTGCCGCATTTTGGCGGCATCGGCATGGTGACCGCATCCGGAACCGGGGTCGAAACCCGCCAAAGAGGTCTGGGCGTAATGCGGTCCGCGAAGCTACAATTCCCAAAACAGGAAATTTCGCAACCGCATATGGAACCCCCAGCCCCACCTTCCTCATCTAGTGGCGCGAATTTTACGCGCCACTGACCAGTGCCAGACCGAGGGTAAAAAACTGAACCAGGGTATCAATCGCAAAAAAAAAAAAAAAAAAAAAAAAAAAAAAAACACCCATTTCAAATACAACCCCCTCACCCTGTAATGCGCGAGGGGCTTTTCGAAGGTGTGTTCGGGTGGGGAAAAATGGGGGGTATTCGAACCCCTCTTTGTCAAACAACTGGCTTGTTCAGAGGTTCCCCTCTGAACGGCAATGCGACGGTTGTGCCATCGCTGTGCTTCGAAAAACGAGGGATGGCGATGGCATGGCCTGGGGATGGAACTTTGCCTGGGGACGAAGTTGCGTCCCCGCTTCCATATGTCGTCGAGCATTTCGTTATGTGGGAGAAATGGAGGCGTTCGCCAGACACCCCCTTTGATTGTTGGTTTGGACGGTTGGGGAGGCTCGGCACCTTATTTACGGGCTGACCATGCTGACAGAGGTAAACGAACACTAACGGACGGGATCAAGAAGGCGAGACCCACCTTCCTGATCCCGTCCTTATCCCACGGCCCTGTTCTGTTGGCGCATAAGGGGTGCTCAGCCCCAACGCTGAACATTCTCGGAATGCGCATAACAAGGCTTAAAGCCCACGTCGAGCCTCCCAAATCGTTATTGTCTCCCGAACCTCTAGTGCGGGAGTTGTGCGCGCATCACTCATGCGTGCGCAAGAACGCATAACTCTCTGTGCGCTGAGAAAATTCCACGAGCTTGGTTTCACTGCCATTTTCCTGCATGGCCTGTGCGAGCCCTATGCGCTCGTCGAGGGGGGAATGAAGAGACGCACAACAAATAACGGGCAGATACAAACGCCCGTTTTGGGGTATTGTTTTGGTAGAATACTCACCCTAAAAAGAATCCAACGGCTAACCAGTAAGATTGCCATATCCAGTGCATCAGTTCGCAAAATTTTGAGTTTTGAAAAGGGGAAATTACACGGGCAGTCACAATTTAGCCCGTTTTATTACGTTTGGTCAGAGGGGTATCACGAACAGTCACAGTACAGCAGATTTCTATCGCGAGTGATCACAGTGCTGTCAAACTCATATGCTATAGTCTGTGTAGGCTGTAGTGGGGTAGACAGTATGGGGTACAACTCTTTTAGGTTTTCCTACTTGTACCCACCTGCTTTCTAGTTCATTCACTCCTCGTTCTTTCACATGGTATAGAGCAGGTTCCCTAGTGGGAACGTTTCCTAGGGCCCACCGAATATCGATTTTTTTCCTGCCCGGAGCGCACTTCGCCCCTGCCCGAGTCGCGCCCCGTGTGCCTACTCTCCCGTCGCGTCCCCTGCCCAAAATGGCCCGTCGCGCTCCCCTTCGCGGCCTCCCTTCGCGGCCCCTTCGTGGCACCTTCGTGGCCCCTTCGCGGCCCCTTCACGGCCCCTTCACGGCCCCCTCGCGGCCCCCTCGCGGCTCCATTCACGGCCCCTTCACGGCCCCCTAGCGGCCCCCTCGCGGCTCCCTTCGCGGCCCCTTCGCGGCCCCGCCCCGCTGCCCGTAGCGACCCCGCCCCGTCGCCCTTCGCGGCCCCTTCACGGCCCCTTCACGGCCCCCTCGCGCCCCCCTCGCGGCTTCCTTCGCGGCCCCTTCGCGGCCCCGCCCCGCTGCCCGTAGCGACCCCGCCCCGTCGCCCTTCGCGGCCCTGCCGCGTCACCCCTGCGGGACCCGCGGGGCGCGGCTCCTATGCGTCGCGACGCCCCTGCAGGACCAGCGTGGCGTCATCGCTGCCCGCCGCGGTGCCCTGCCCTAACCCGCGCCCTGGAGCAGCCGACACTGCAGCAGCCGCCACTGCAGCAGCCGCCCCTGGAGCATCCACCACTGCAGCAGCCGCATATGGAGCAGCCGCCCCTGAAGCAGCCGCCCCTGGAGCAGCCGCCCCTGAAGCAGCCGCCCCTGGAGCAGCCGCCCCTGAAGCAGCCACCCCTGGAGCAGCTGCCACTGCAGCAGCCGCCCGTGGAGCAGCCACACCTGCAGCAGCCGCCCCTGGAGCAGCCGCCCCTGCAGTAGCCGCCCCTGGAGCAGCCGCCATTACAGCAGCAGCCCCTAGAGCAGCCACACCAGCAATAGCCGCCCCTAGAGCAGCAGCCACTGCATCAGCCGCCCCTGGAGCAGCCGCCACTGCAGTAGCCGCCCCTGGAGCAGCCGCCACTACAGCAGCCGCCCCTGGAGCAACCGCCCCTGGAGCAGCCGCCAATGCAGCATCTGCCCCTGGAGCAGCCACCCCTAAAGCAGCCGCCCCAGGAGCAGCCGCCACTACAGCAGCCGCCCCTGGAGCAGCCACCCCTACAGTAGCCGCCCCTTGAGCAGCCGCCCCTCCAGCAGCCGCCAATTGAGCAGCCGCCCCTGCAGGAGCCGCCCCTGGAGCACCCCCCCCTGCAGCTGCCGCGGAGCCCTCGCCCTACAGTGGTAGCGGCCTCGCCATTGCCGCCGTCGTACGCCTGCCGTTCTCGCCACTAGTGAGCACTGCCCTGCCGTAGTGCTGTTACTGATGCTCTTGCTGCTACTGCTCTTTCTAGTGCTACTGCTCTTTCTACTTCTATGCTGCTCCTGGCGTGTCCACATGCAGCTTTAGCGCCGTCCGCGTGATTCCCTCACCCCCCGACAGCTTTGTGAGTGGTACGCTAGTTGGGGTTGTCGGGGTGGCCGTAGTGGGAGTCGTCCTGAAGTTAGTAGTTCGGCAGCTGCTTGTAGTGGCTAGGTGCAGCTTCAGCGTCGTCCGTGCGCGGTCCTTTCACCCCAGCAGCTTTGTGAGTGGTACGATCAGCGTGACGGGTCACGGGGGACTGCTCGCTGTCCGTACATCATTCGCACTGATGCTCGGACTGGTCAGCCTTGCGGGACGTTTGGTCACGCAGAGTCCCGCTGCTTTGCCCGTCTGAGCGACGCCTGGCGTACGGAGTTTGGCGACGCAGCTGAGCTCCTCGACTGGGTGGAGCTGCTTCGGCTGCGGGTAGATATCTATATTCTTGACTATGATGCTATCCTCACTGCCATGTATGCATTGCCTACTAGTGATGAGGGTGACTGTTACCTGTGTGTTCCGCCTGACCCGGGCATTGAGGCTGCTGCTCTAGGTGCTGGTGAGGCTGCTTCTCTAGGTGCTATGGCGTCTGCTGCCCCATGTGCTGGTGAGTCTGCTCTCTCAGGTACCACGTCGGCTCAGGCCTTACACACCTTCACCCTTGACTCGGGTGCTTTTCGCTCCTTCTTTCAAGACCACACCACGCTTACGCCGCTTAGTCGGCCGGTTGCGGTCTCTCTAGCGGACCCCTCTGGGGGTCCTGTTCTTGCTCGCTTCTCCACTGTCTTACCGTGTCCGGCAACCCCCTCTGGCACCCTGTCAGGTCTCTACCTCCCCTTGTTCTCCACGAACTTGGTGAGTGGTGCTGATCTACAGGATGGGGGGGTTGACCGGTTCACTCCTGCGAGTCAGCGGGTGACCCACTGTACGTGCCCTCGGACAAGCCGACACTTGGCCACGTTACCCGTCAGCCGGGGTCGAGCCTGTACACAATGACTACTGACTCTCCTCTGGTTGCTGAATCTGGTCAGGTAGCTGCGTTGAGTCAGGTGTTTGCTGCAGCGTCCAGGTCTGGTCCTGAGTCTGCTTCCTGCTCGTGTCGTCTCCTGTCCCACCAGACTCTCCTTTGTTCTGCATCTGCACTCTGACAGAGGCGAGGAGTTTTCCTCTGCCCGTCTGGGAGCCTTCTCTCGTGCACAGGGCATCCGCCAGACCTTCACGCTTCCGGCCTCTCCATAGAGAAATGGGATTGCAGAGCGCCGCATTGGCATGGTCATGGACGTCGCTCGTACGCCCATGATCCATGCGGCTGCTCCCCATTTTCTGTGGCCGTTTGGGGTTCAGTACGCAGCGCATCAGCTCAACCTTCAGCCCCGGGTCTCCTTGCCAGAGACCTCCCCCACCTTGCGGTGGACGGGGAAGGTTGGCGATGCGTCTGCGTTTCGGGTCTGGGGATCTAGGGCGTTTGTCCGCGACTTGTCTGCGGACAAGCTGTCCCCCCGTGCTGTTCCCTTGCGTCTTCCTTGGCTTCCCCCTTGACACGCCTGGTAGGTACTTTTACCACACCACCTCGCGCCGTGTTCTGTCCTCCCAGGACGTCACCTTTGACGAGTCGGTGCCTTACTACCGTCTCTTCCCTTACCGCACTGCGCCCCTCCCCCCGCCGCCGCTCTTCCTTGCGCCAGGTCCTCCCTTGGTAGACCCCCTCCCCCCTCAGGGTCCTGCCCCGTCAGGTGTGTCCGAGGTAGACGCAGTCGAGCCTGTCGAAGTAGTTGTTGACTCTGGTGCTG